ACAGGAAATTGATAATATAAAATCCCGACACGATAAAAACTTTAATGTCTAACATAAGTGGCATTTTTCGCGATATACTGTTTTAGATTAAACCGGATATTCCCATCAATAGCTGTGAAATGCGGCATTATAATACGCTTACAAGAAACAAAATGGTTGAAAAGTACCGTGTAATTTCTTCATAATTTCTTCTTTTAATTACTAATATTAATTATAGAATGATATACAAATAAACACACACACAAACACACAATACACACACGCATGCGCGCGCGCGCGCACGCACACACACACACACACACACACACAACGATCCAATTACGTGTTCATCCTCATGGAAACTTCATAGACGACTGCACTATCCTAACTTAGCAACGCGAGATGCGCGCTGCATACGCGAACTATCGATCCGTGATAGCCGCCGATCGAGTTAACGAATGTCGTAATTCACGTTTATTTTCATAGCCAACTAAACAAAAAGTTACACATAGCGGCAGTAGCTCGACGAGTGCAACGCTCGTTAGCGTAACAAATTTAGCAGACAATACGGCTGGCCGGATTCGATTCGGAGTAAAGTAAGCTCCCGAATTGGGCTGATGTAATTGATAGTCCGAACTTATCTTTGCCCTTCTTTTCCTCTCTCTTTTCCTCTTTCGGGGAATCTAATGGCCGAGGGTTATCGGTAGCCAGCGTTTTTGCTTCGCCTTAATTTTCTTCGCATGTGCAATTTCACACGATAAAGTCTCGCGCCTGGATCGTCGGAATGATTCCCCTCGTCCCGAAAAGATCCACACGAAGAACCGATTGCCCGTAAAGCATGCCATCCTAATTTTATAGAATGTGGAAAATTTTTAAAGATATTAGTACGATCGAAATAACTGATCTCATAGATTTCGAAGAACATCTACATATCTTATATTTTGAAAGGCATTTAAATTAATTTTCGAGACGCCATCGAATGACCATATTCATGCTGCATTCGATGGCCAAATATAACCATCTAATTTTGAATTTTATTTATGTATTCGCGCATTACGTGTAACGTGATTTAACGTTACCATGAGACGAAAACCAGATAAACGCGCTTAGCGATTCCTGCGAGTATGAAACTAGAAATCTGTGATATCTGTGCGTCGGAAATTGCGTAAAATCCATCAATCAAGTTGGATAAAACTCAAAATCGATCGCCTGTGTTTGATGTGCATTCGAATGAAAAGTATTCGATAAGATTACGTGTGCCGTGATGCAGCAGTTTAAAAAGATTTAAAAGACTAAGTTATATGCTGTTTCCGAAGTAAACAGCTTGTATGTTTCTTATGTGGCTTTTTAGGCACAGGCTTTAATCGGGGGATGGTACTTGAAAATGATTAGGTGGCGGACTATTTAAGGATGCTAAAATCGTGTTCTTTAGTTCTTTATTATCCAGCGCATATCTCAGTTCTGTGCGAAGGAGATGCATGCTTAGGGATCGGCGGATGAATCGAAGGGATCCCATGAAAGTACAGTCGAAATAAAAATCAAGGAACAAGTCCGAAATTTTCGTACGTTTCATAATTTTTACTTATTCGTCATTATTATGTGATACTCTCTTTCGAAATTCTTTTAAAAATCCCATTAAAGTAAAGTAAGTTGTGATAAGTAGATATATAGGTCGACAGATCTAAAATTTTATTATTGTACTAATTGCTTTTTTATATCTTTTTTATCATTAATCACATCGTTAAATTTTAATTTTTATCAACTGCATACTATTATTATCAACTATATATATTATCTTATCATTAATTATTAACAATAATTATCATATAATTAGTCGAAGTAAATTTAGATAAAGTAGTCATAAAGATGAATAAATTGAAAATTTTATTATACTAAATACAATTTTACAATTACAATTTTTCTGAATTTTTAACGTTAACCGCGCGTCAATGTGTTATTTGAATTTTCTTCTTAAATCTTCGTGCTATTAATTATATTATTACTAAATACGTACCACCAACAGCAATTTCTCAATTTCGGCTTTTCTCCGGATTTACGTATTCAAGGATTGCAACAATTTATCGTCGGTATAAATCAAACAAATTTAAATTGACGCAGTCAATTACATAAGTGCAGTTTACAATCGTCGTTGACTGTGGTAGTTGAAATTGTTTACACAATTACTCGATCAGGTAGTCCTTAAGTATCCATTCATCTTCTATATTTAGCCACGCGGCGTGTTCGCGCCATTATATGTACACGAACCGAGTGAGCTACGGCGCGCTGTTTTTAGCTCGCGCGCAAACAACATTGAGCAATGGGTGCATCGGGGATATCCGCCGGACAATCGAAAGTTCAGAGTGCATAATTACGTACGGTGACAGTGCCCCTTAAGTTAGCCGGGACTGGCCGCACAGGACGACAAGGGTACGTACGTGCGCGTACATACGTATCCGTGCGTGTTTGGCCGTCACCCACCGCGTCGTTTCTTGTTTCAACCGGGTTGCAATGGTCGGATTTACCTGCCCTTTTCTGCGACACTGCCGGTCGACTTCTTTTTATGGACGGAGGATATCTTCTGTGCGTGTGGGGTTTACATCAACAGGACCTCGGACAATGGCCGAATTGAAGGACGATAGAGGGTTTCGAAGTTATTCGGCTCGACAACATCGGGCATCGGTGAATAATTAAGAGCGCGCAAAAAGTATCTAAGAATCTGTTGTGACAGAAAGTGCGTTTAATCGAGGGCGGGTAAACAACTCTTTTAGGTACTTCAAGGTACGGCCTCGGTGGAACACGCTGGTCGAAAATAACTATGTACGAAGTTAGAAAAAGTTACAGCTACTTGTGTATGCGCACCTTAACCGTCTTCTGTATCTATTTTTAAATCTCAACTTTTAAAAAGAGATAAACGTCTTCAAAAATCACTAAAATATTATATACGCGTCCAAACATAATTTAAAAAATTTTTTGCAGAACTCTTTGAGATTTAAATTTATTCAGATGTGAATGTGTTCAATTCAATTAAGTTATTTACATTGATTGCGTAATTCGACAATTGGCTCAAGTAAATATTGCAATTTTTTAAATTTTAATTTTGAGGAATTTTGAGGAAATATATTCTGCATTTAAAATTCTTTTTCTCTCCTTCAATACGCGCAATCCGGAATGTAGAGGACAACGTGAGAAAAACATTTTTGACGTAAAAAACGATCATTCAGAACGTTATGCGATTCCAAGCGTGAAAAAAACGGACTCTGCTTCAATTTTTGTCGCTTCAAATATTTCGATGAAGAATCCGCGTCCGATCGCCATCGCTTCTGCCGCCGCGGTGCAACAATGTTCGCAAACGTTATTCAGGAATGTGTTCCACGGGGTTTTCGGAGGACGCTGTACCATTCGATAGGCACGCAGACCGAAAACAACAGGCCGAGTTATTTCGATCGGCCGTTGGGAATCTTCGGATTCTACAAGTCGCAGAGTAGCGATACGAAAAACTACCGGAAGGGTTGCCGCAAAATCGAGCCGAGAGGAACGTAGGACGATCCGCGGCGGAATGGCGAGAGGAGAAACGGGGGTTGGGAAGAGAGATGGAGCAGGGAGGAACGAGCGGGAGCGAGAGGATGGAAGAGAAAGAGGAGAGGTAGAGAGGAGAGAGAGATGCATGCCGCGTGCGAATTCCCTCCTCGCGGGTTCTGCGCGCAGTGGATGCCTAACCCTGGGGGCACAGCGTATACCCCTTTTCCCGCCCACCCGTTAGATCCGACGAGCACGCTGCACTCCTTCCATCGCGCGTCCTCTCATCCCTCTCTTTTCTCCGTCACGTAACTCCGCGACTGTCCGTCTTTTTCCCTCGTTCGTCTCCCACTCCCGTCTACGTTGCACAAAGTTGCAATTTACAGTTGTCTCTCTCTTCCCCATTCGTCCTTCTCTTCTTCCCCCACCGGTGCACTTCCCACTCCGACTTTCTTATCCCCACCGTAGAGGCCGCCGAGCCACCCACCAGCTACGCCACTCTGGAGCACTCTCTGTGCATCTTCGTCTTGCTCTCCGAGAGCACTCACTCGGCGATCTTCCTCGTTCTTCTCCCACCCTTTCTCTGTCGTTGTCTCTCTCCCTCTCACATGCCACGCCGTCGGGGGCGATCGGCGCGCCGAAGTGCGGCGACAGGCGTCGCAAATTCGCTTCTCGCAACTTCGGCTCCGCTCGGTCGGTTCCGAGCGCCGGCCAGAGGAATTCGTCAGTATGCGCCGCGCTGCCTTGCCGGCAAGTTGTACGTAGTGAATAGATTCTTTCTTTTCTGAGACTAGAGATACTTGTGCGAGTTGTCGTTTCTCACGAGTCACGAGGCAAGCGATATCATTTTGCATACGCGGATCTCGCATCCTTTTCTGCGTCGATCGGAGAAATGCACGATAGATATCGACCGACGACAGCGCATCTAGAAAATTCACGGTCGATCACGTAGATCGAGAGGCGCGATCGAGAGGAAGGAATCCCGGTCACGAGGACGGAAAGAACTCGCGCGCGTGAAGCGACAGCGCGGAGTAACCGAGGGTATCGATGAGAGATATCAGGGAGAACGGTCTCCCAAGGGCAACGAGGGCACCAAAGGTCACTATCGCGCCGTCGACGATCTCTACCGAAAATCGCACCATCAGCCGGCCGTACCGAAGGAAAGAACTGTTCGCCGCGCGAATCACGCCGCGACAACGCGACAGGCAGCCATCGTTGGCGCGACGACATAGAGCGTAGATCCATCCGTTCATGCGGCGGGCCAAGTTCCTATCAAAACATGGCC